TACTATTCTTCTCTTCTCTCTCTCTCTCTTCTCTCTCTCTCTCTCTCTCTCTCTCTCTCTCTCTCTTTCTCCTCGTCGCTCACACTTGTATGAATAATTTATGCTTCTACACATGTTCCCGGCGCCCGAGTTCGGTCAACATGACGCTCGCATAACCATGTTTCCGGCTTCGTATCAATTTTGTCGCGACAAGGCAGGAAGACAATTAAGATAGCGCGTCGTTAGATAACAACTGTGTTTCCCTCTCGAGACCTAAGAGCCGTATTCCGAGGCTGCGAGAAAATAGAAAACAAGGAGAGAGAAAAATTAACGAGTGTTAGTCCCTCAACCGCGCCGATACGGACAAAAGCCTTTGACTCGGGTATTTTATATTCTCTCTCGATGACCGCGATCGAAGCAGGCGACTGGAATATACACGGATTAGATTTCCAATCGAACGCAAATTTACAATCGCGCCAAAATCCAACGGCAACCGAATGATTTCGGCGATGTTTGAGTTATCGAAATTAAACCTTTATTTGTGCCACGAGTGGAACTTGAAGCAAAACGATGGATATCCCAGCCTAATCCGGCTGGTTCGACTCTCGGCGAACAAACGAAAAATCATTTTGAGTAAACTAAAATCGGACTTCGTTGCGAAATTGCACGATGCGATTACAGCAATCCGAAATATCGCTCGTTGTTCCTTAATTTTATTTTAGGGCCGTCGAAGCGCGGAAAATTTTTAATAAAGAAAAGATCGGAAAGGCCAGGCCACGCATTGTCCATATTTAAACGTTAAAATATAACGTAATCATAAATCAATGTAACTGTACGTTCGCGATAAAGCGAGCAAATTACGTTAAAATGCAAATCGCTAAAAGAAGGCTATTTTAGAATGATCGCAAATTTTCCCTTTCCTTTTTTTCTCTCTTTTCTCTGTAAGGTAACGCTTCTATCCTTAACGATCAGCATTAACTTTCAGGATCGACGATAACTTTCCGATCGTGTCCGCTACTTTTTCCATTTCGCAGAGGCACAAGCGCGAGGACAGTAATAAAGCTTTACGAGCGCGCGTAACGAAGGAACTCATTTCTGGAGCGAAAAACTTGCAGGAGCGAGAGGGAGGAAAAAAAAAAGCAGAAAGGGTATTAATGCAACGTCGAAGCGATTATCGTAACGCGCTGTTTCACCCGGCTTATAACATCGGCGAGAGAGAAGGGCGAAATCGGACACGAGAGCTGAAACGAGCCACTTCGTTCTATGGACGTGGAAATGGCTGTTTCTTCACGACGCAAAGAAACGCACTAATCGCCTGCGGAGATCCCATTGAGCTAACATTCGAGCAACTCATTATCATTAATTTGAATATCCGCGAAGTTCGTTCATAGAAGCCGCGATTCGCCCGGGAAAGAAATTCTTTACAGGAAATTTTAACAACGCCGGTTAGCTCTAATCTCGGCTTATTACATATGCATGCTACTGTTCTGAATTACAATTAAGAGAATAGAAATAAAGGATCTTTTGATTCTGAAGTATTACTACCTATGAGAATATCATTTTTGTTGTTCAAGTTTATTGTACTAATTTATTTGTGTTCGTGCGAAAAAGCAATGAAAGAGATAATTTTAACTCTAAATTCTTTAAAAGTATGTGTGTACAATTAACAAATAAATCAAGAAAATCTTTTTTAAAAATAATTAAAAAAATAATTTTAAATAAGAAGCCCATTTTTTTTAATGTACTTTAATTAATTAACGAATAAAACTTTATAGGACAGGATTAATTTTAATTGAGATTTACCTCAATCGCCATTAAAGTTATACTTTTCTACAAGATCTGAGTTTATTAATAATCTCGAAGACTCTTACGTAATTCGATAATTCAAATAAGTATTTCTGATAATACGATAACTGCGCTGGAAATAAAAGATCTAAGCGACAATGAATTGCCATCATCCAATTGGACTAATCGTCCTGCGAGTGATTTATTTATGTGAGGATTTAGCCGGTCGGTGATTGAGGACAATCGAGAGTTATACGTCGATCAAAGAAACGCGTCGCGAAGCCATACGATCGAAAAGAAACCCGGTCGCTTCAAACGAAGACTCGAATGTGCTTTCCACCCTTCTTCCAATTACCCAGCCGCAATTTGATCCTCCTCGCCTTCGAGATCGCCTCGTCGCGTTTAATAAAAATCGTTAGATCCGCCCGTTAATTGCGCAATCGCGGAGCGACTGAGGAAAAAAAATGGGGGGTGGAAACGTCGACTAAAAAAATTCTAGAAAAATCATGTATTTCTTTTTCTTAAGGTAACAGCACGCGATTTTTAAGAAAGACAATCTTTTTAGCGGCAAATAATTTCGGAAATATACATATTAATCTTTCGTGCGAAGCACGTAATAACCAATTAATTTTTTAAGAGTCAATTTTAGGTCAGCGCGCTTCTCGCGTTTTCTTCTCTCGTTCTGGATTAAACTCCCTGTTTTCCGTTTCCCCGTGTACGCCACAGTTCATCAGGCGAGTTAACGAAGCTCGAAGCAGATGGAATTTCATAGAACGTCACGTCGACCTGTCTCTCT